ACAAATATGAAAAGATAGATGGTATCATCATAAAACAATATCAATTTAGATCATACAAGGGACAAACCTTTCCTTAAATTGAGGAGCTCTTTAAATGTTTCAGTTAAGTGCCTGCACCTGCTGTCCTTTCAAATTCATATCCAAATGTTTCAGTTGGGCAGTTAGGTTCCTGCAAGAACCCCCACCAACTAAGGAGGTTCCTCGATTAACCCCACCTCCTATGGGGTTAACCTATGGGGTTAACATTTTGGGGGCACTTTTCAGAGCCAAGAACCCTAAGGTTCTTCAAAGACCTTTGAACCATTGTTGAACCCCTACATTTTTTAGTGTAGACCGGCACATTAGATGGCACATTCCTCACTCATTAGACGCACAATTAAAGGGAATTACACAAAAAAAATCTACATTTGTTAGTTTTCTTCCAGACCTAAAGAAAATGGTATCCAGATGTGATTTAAGCATTGACATGCACTCAGAACATCCACAACATTTCGTTGTTTCGCTTTGAACAATTGTAATTTTGAGAGTGAAAAACAAAACAAATCTAAAACCAGGAAAAATAAAACTCAGAAAACAGAATTTGGGAAAATATAAAACAGAATTCTGGGGGATAAAATCACAAATGTATAGGGCACCCCTTAGAGTTGTTTCTTAACCATTATTTTTGCAAGGTCTATTGACAGAACACATAATGAACTACTTTCTCTTGTACACTAAGGACCGGGGGAAGAGTTGCAGGGGAGAGGAGAAGAGAAGAATGTGCCTATTGGAAAGCTAGCAAAAATGATCATGTTTAATTTTTTTTAAGTAGCTCTCATGCTACAAAAGGTTGGAGATCCCTGAACTAGTGGCTCTCAGTATGCCATTGGGTTTGGGTTACTCACCCCTTCTGCCACCAATGTAGCGCCAACTGCTGTTAATTCATACATCAACTCTGATATGCCTTTCATACACAGACCAAAATAACAATGACTGAATCCTCAGCTACTTGTCCAAAGTTAAGTGATACTTTTGCAGGGAGGCTTACTGGTTTTTAAGTCATAGAGCTCTATTCAATCCGTAGCGCTGAGATTCCACTTTATAGCGCGATTGACAATTAAAGGCAATGTTCCCGCGGTTGCGGAGACTGTATTCACGGTAAACGCTGCATATGTCGGCTCAATAGAAAATTACCTTTACGTTTTAATGCAGATCTTCGGCGATACTTTGGCAATACGGATTGAATCCAGCCCTTACTTATTGCTTAACTTTAGGTCACATATGATTAATTTGCATGAGAAACTTGTTTATTCCATCTCCTTTCCCTACAGAGATCCTGGTTTTGGGACCAGAGGGAATGCTGGAGAGGATATCCACAACAAGTGAGCTCCTATGTTCTGTTATCCCTTCAACTCACATCTACCTTTTAACTTACAGAGCACAAATATGTACTTTTCTGTACTGTTTTTGTCCCTCTGGTGTATAGTGACTTGATGGTATAATTTACTACAGTATAGAATTAATCACTTAGCTCTCATGGCTATGAATTGTACACTTTTGCTGTAGGATCCCAAGTGTGCTTATAAACCTACTACACTATATGTACAAAAGTATGTGGACACCCCTTCAAATTGGTGGATTCGGCTATTTCAGCCACACCCGTTGCTGACAGGTGTATAAAATCGAGCACACAGCCATGCGCTCTCCATAGACAAACATTGGCAGTAGAATGGCCTTACTGAACTGCTCAGTGACTTTCAACGTTGCACCGTCATAAGATGCCACCTTTCCAACAAGTCAATTTCTGCCCTGCTAGAGCTGCCCCGGTCAACTGTAAGTGCTGTTATTGTGAAGTGGAAACGTCTAGGAGCAACAATGGCTCAGCCGCGAAATGGTAGGCCACACAAGCTCACAGAACGGGACAGCCGAGTGCTGAAGCACGTAGCGCGTAACAATCGTCTGTCCTCGGTTGCAACACTCACTACCGAGTTCCAGACTGCCTCTGGAAGAAACATCAGCACAATAACTGTTTGTCGGGAGCTTAATAAAATGGGTTTCCATGGCCGTGCAGCTGCACACAAGCCTAGGATCACCATGCGCAATGCCAAAATTAAGGCAGTTATACAATTTTAAAAACATTACAATACATTCATAACAGATTTCACAACACATTAAGTGTGTGCCCTCAGGCCCCTACTCCAACACCACATATCTACAACACAAAATCCATGTGTACGTGTGTGTATTACATCTGCAGACAGTCTTCCGGATCCTTATCACACCAGCCTCCCCATCTTACCGATCTGTGTGGCTGTTAACAGACAGTAATGTTGGAGGGTGGGCGGCAGTGTACTCGACACACCTTTATGTTCCTTGACTGTTGATGTACTTGAGAACACACAAAGAGTGGCCAACCAAACATAGGCCTATAATTCAAGTCGGTTTGGCTTCTTTAGACCTCTTCAATCTTTAGACCTCTTCAAAGTAAAGGTAAGCAAGCGTCACTATGCCAACAAAGCCTCCATGGTGAAGAGGGGACTAACTTTGCAGCCCTAGGGCATTTACAGTTATTGCTTTAACTGATAAGTATTTATATTTCTTGTGTGTTTTTGTTCTACTTAAAAAAATAAAAAAATAAAACTACCGATATTGATTACTGCATTGTTGGCAAAGAGCTTGCGAGAAATGCATTTCACTGTACCTGTGCACGTGACAATAAAACTTGAAACTTAAAACAAAGTGGTTGTGACTGTGAGTGCCATGTTTGTTTGACAAATTAATGTTGAGAAAGGCTGTCTTTTGAATAGATTTTCATTATCATTGAAGGGATTCCAATTAACCTGTTAATTGAGGACCTCTGTGCTGAGGAATATTATTGTTTTTCTTGAGTGTATTTGTAATTTTGTATATTTGTATTGTAGTGCATTTTGTAAATGGTGTGCATGCAGGGCTCCCTTGCAGAAGAGACTGTTAAAGTAAAGGTCAAATACAAATATAGGTCAAATAAAACCTGCCTTACATTTGTAGAATTTGAGTACAATTTAGAAATGTTTCTTGTATGATGTTCGGAGACAGAGAGCTATGGTCCCTGCTTCTCAAAAAGAACATCATATCTATTAGATCTCTAAACTTGTGACCTCACAACAAATATCTTAGGCTTCATTTAAATGCATGTTGATGACATGCTATTCAGGAACAGTGACATGTTAAAGTTAATGTTGATGGCATACTATTAGGAACAGTGACAGGATAAAGTTAATCCATTCCTCACAACAATACAAAGTAACCCCATACAGGTACTAAATAATGTAACTCTGTGTCACACAGCGGTCAAGTAGTCAGGGCCAGCTCCAACATAAGCGGTCACTTAGGACCCCCAGCCGCTAGGGGGCCCCACACCCAAAAATAATTAAATAATGTTTTTAAAAAGTTTTTTTAGGAACTGTCTGGGTATCAACTTACTGTTGAGAGTTAGAATAGTAGAATACATAACGTGCAATTTCGAAAATTGGTTTGTGCATCCGCAGTTTCTTCTCTTATGTCAGTCACTGACAGTCACTCAATTAGCCATGTCAACTAACAATTTTTTGATTGGTAAGTTAGTCTAGCCAGCTATCTAAACTTGTAGTATGGTCGAATACTGACCGGGCACGCAGGGCATGTGCCCAGGGGGCCCTAATTTATTTTGTTAGTCACTCTCACTCAGATATTTTTCTCTCTGCCCCATGGCAAAATGATTACAATTGCATGACATTTGTTATAAATTTGCTAAAGTTCTCTCGCCCCTTGGCAAAATAAATTGAATTGCAGAACACTTGCTTTAAAACTTCAAAATGTTCTCTATTCTCCCTGGCAAAATGTGTAGAATTGCAGGAAATTGCTTAGGGCCCCCAAAAGGCTAGCGCCGGCCCTGCAAGTAGTACACTTCACATTAACTTCGGCCTGGCTTCAAGGTTGGGCAGTGTTATCCTCAAACAAGCTTTTGTGTATAACCCAATAACCATCAATATTCTATTATGCCAAATTTCATTCACATTTTTCCATTACTGGTAGATAGACTCATTTTTCCTCGCTGATTAAGAGTGCACTTTTTTCTTTTTCTTTCTTAAAACCATTACTGTTTTCCCCTTTTTACCCTCTTGTCGTCATTCCTAAGTAGGCTACAGTGCATTAACTGAACACACCCCTTTTGTTGCCTCTTGGGCATCAGTGCAATCAAAGGTTCACAGCACAGTTGTGAATCTGCTATTGATCACCAACAGAGTTTCACAAAAGACATGAGAGAGGAAAAACGTCCAGTTATATTGATTAATCGGTGATTCGTCTTTTTCTTTGGCAACGCAATCCTCAATTACTGCAGCGAATCTCTGACAGGTAGGTCGTCGTTATAACTGTTTTTGTTGCAACTGTTTTCACATGAAATATTAGTTCTCAATATAAATATAGCTATTCATAGAATCACCAGTCAACAAATTTTAAGATACATAAATAATATATATTTCATATAGGCCAACCAGGAGAAATACAGTTGCCTATTTGACTTTCCACTATAATAACAACATGCATTGGTCTCGTTAATTACGTTTGTTTCAACCAAAATTATTGTTTCTCATGATCGCATGATAAAAAAAAAAAAAAGATAACTTGAAGTTAACTTCCCAACAATGCTGATGGGTTTTTCATTGTTAAATCAATGACCCCTGCAAACCAGACATTTGTAGCTTATACCTGCTATTTGTCAGCATTATCTTGAAGAGTATGTCAAAATGTGTAACTGATTAAGAAACATTCATAACATAGTCACATGATTCAGTATTTGATTAAATGTAAAAGCACTGAGCATCAAGCAATATTCTTGCATAGCTTAAAATAATTGCAAAGGCATGAATGCAAACACACACGCACACAAGTACACACACAAATGTCCCTAGGATACTGAAGTTTCTTCTGCTCCAGCTCATTCAGCAGTAATCAATAATATATCATTAAGCCACTTATCCCGCTTCCTGCCTCCATCCAGCATGGACCTCTTGCCTGATCTGTGGAAGCATGAGTACTGGCTGCCTCCTGGGATCACCTGGAAAGACATGGAGCAGATGGAGGAGTATCCGCGTCCCCGTGACCTGCTGTTTGCCTTGCCTCTGGCTCTGGGGTTCATTGCCCTCCGCTATGTATTTGACACGTAACTTTTTTAAGAACTACTGTATGGACTCCATCTTGGATACCTTCCGTGTTGGTTTGCAACAATACTTTGGCTGTGGTCTCATGTGGCTCAGTTGGTAGAGCGTGTCACTTGTAATGCCAGGGTTGTGGGTTCAATTGAAATATGAAAATATATGTACTCACTACTCTGGATAAATTGATATTTAAAAAATGTAATCAACAAAGGAATGTGTGTCTGAAATATGAGTCAGTGACTTCTAAAAAGGGGAAGATTGGGTCAAACTTTATTTGGAAAGTCCTGATAGTCCATCTGTAGATACTCTAGAGATGGTTATACCATCAACAAACTATCTGTTGATAAGCAACTGCTTGCTAAGTTTACGGTTAGGTTTAGGGTTAGCGTTAGGTTTAGAATAAGGATTAGGTTAAGGTTAGGGTTAGGGTTAAGTTAAGGGTTAGGATAAGGATTAAGGTTAGGGCTAGGGTTAGTACATAGTTAGTTGAAATGTTACTGAGCATCTACAGATGCACTATCCAAATAAAATGTTACCAATTCAACTCACACAGAGGAGCAATCTGATTGTACACTGCAAAACTGCACCCTTTCATTGACATCAAGATTACTCTAATTTTGTTTACCCAGTGAAAATGTTTGAGTAATGGCATACCGGTATCTAGCATTTTTATAGTTGAATAATAGCATGATTTCTCCACAGTGTGACTGTTCCGCATCACAGGTTTGATTGAATTCTTGATGAAGTCTTGTCATGCTCCATCACCTCACAACAAATAGTAGGAGTGAAATTAGCTCCATCCTCATTGGAGGATGCTGTTTTGTTGGTTGACCTGCACTGTACAGATGTAGGATCTTAATTTGAACCAGTTTGCAACAGCGGGAAATTAATCTTGCAGCAACAGGAAATGTTAATTATTATAATTAATGGACATTTTTGTATTGGTTGATACATTTTTTGTAAGGGAAAATCAAGTCTGAAATGTGAAAGTGCTTTGAAATTACAAACTTCAGAAGCCTCTTTAAACCTAAAATACACTACATGTTTTTTAATTTCATTGCAGGCATGTTCTCCTGCAACAGGGTGATCAAATTAAGATCCTACATCTGTATGCCTACAGGTGATTTGGCAGGTATTGTTATTGGTATCTCAGGTCAGTTGGGAATAGTAGAGAGAACAGGTGTGAGCGGTTTGCTAAATGAGAGAACAGTAGCAGGTAGATTGGAGAGAAGATGGGCTCTGTTGCTACAGCAGCTGTTTCCTACGGTAACCTGAGAAGCTTTCTCTGGCCTAATAAATGGCTTAGAGGTTATTACAGCAACACAGACATAAGCACAGATTTTCTGTATACAGACACATGCTGTGCACACACACATGCACACACATGCACACACCGGTACACACATACACACACACACATCATGTATAGATTAACAAAGAGCTATAGAGAGTCACACATATTGTCATATTGTCATTAGTAATACTTCACCTCTTGTCGAGGAGATCAATAACTGTGTTTATGTTTTCCTCACTGCCAGGGTTGTGGCTCCCCCCTTGGGCAGATATGTGGGGTTGCGGAACAGATTACACATGGCTGCCACTCCCTCCCCAAAGCTTGAGTCCTTCTACACCCAAAAAAAACGACAACCATCTCAGGTTAGTGTCAGAGACATCAAACTCTGATAATGATATATGCCAGTCTTGATCTCTCACCGTCAACATAGCTGCTGGAAGTGTTTGCACTGTGGGAATGGAACGGTGACGGGGACATGCATCCTGGTCTACGAGTTCCTAGAAAATATTGGTACAAGTGATACCACTTAGAATAAAGTTACTGTGTACCTACACTGGAATAGCGCCCTCTACTGTATGTAACAGATTACATAGGAAAACAAATAGGTTTGGAACATATTGGACTAATATACAATAACTTTTAGCGGGAGCTGTACACTGTAAAATCCTGTTGTTTCTACAGTAACTTACTGTCAGTTTAACAGTACTTTGGTTTAACAGTACATTACTGGAATTTACAGTTACATACTGTACTTTTTATTTTATTTTTTACAGTAACTTACAAGTAACTGTCTGCCAGTAAGTTACCATAAAAACAACAGGATTTTTTAAAACCGTGTATTATTACATTTATAGCTGTAATAATGTTCTCTCTATATCCCTTCATATTTAGAGTGAGATCGTCAGTCTAATGGCACAATGTGACAAAACCCAGAGACAAATTGAGACCTGGTTCCGTCACCGCAGAAATCAAGACAGGCCTAGCCACACCAAGAGGTTCTGCGAGGCTTCGTAAGGTCTTTCATTTATCTTCAATCACTTGTATAACCACATTTTAAAAATTATGTATTTATTTTAACCTTTGTTTAACCAGGCAAGTCAGTTAAAGATGCACTATGCAGAAATCGCTCCACCATTTCCTGGTTGCTAACATTCTAATAGTTCGCCTAACTTCAGTTTATGTGACTAAACAAGCAAGTATAGTGTAATACTTGAAATATCTTTTCCATTCCCCAAAAATATTGTATTTTCAGCTGTTTGAAGCTGGTGTAGAAAACTGAAAGTAAAAGACGCAAAAATGAAACATAAGAACGGGAAACATAGAAAAAGCGCACATAGAACAGATCTACCGCTTCTTAGACTTGCTTTCAATGAGAATGACATAGCTATAATATACATTTCTATGTGAATTTGGTTGGGTCGCCCAAAAAGTTACATATTGCAGCTTTAAGAACAAATTCTTATTTATTTACAATGCCACCTTGGTCATCGGGAAAAGTCCTGTGAAATTCAATGATACTCAATAAGTCATTCCATTTTCACATGTTGCCAATGCAGCTCCAGTTGTAAGACCTTAAATTGTAACTCTAAAACCTGTCATTTTGCAGTTGGAGGTTTTTCTTCTACCTCATAGCATTCCTAGCTGGACTCCGAACTTTGATTGATGTAAGTATTAGTATGAACCAGTATTGATAGTTTGGGACTAGTTTGGGACAGCTTTGAAGTGTAGGAATATGGACGCTAAAATAACAATGACTGAATCCTCAGCTACTTGTCCAAAGTTAAGTGATACTTTTGCAGGCAGGCTTACTGGTTTTTAAGTCATAGAGCTCTATTCAATCCGTAGCGCTGAGATTCCGCTTTATAGCGCGATTGACAATTAAAGGCAATGTTCCCGCGGTTGCGGAGACTGTATTCACGGTAAACGCTGCATATGTCGGCTCAATAGAAAATTACCTTTACGTTTTAATGCAGATCTTCGGCGATACTTTGGCAATACGGATTGAATCCAGCCCTTACTTATTGCTTAACTTTAGGTCACATGTGATTAATTTGCATGATAAACTTGTTTATTCCATCTCCTTTCCCTACAGAGATCCTGGTTTTGGGACCAGAGGGAATGCTGGAGAGGATATCCACAACAGGTGAGCTCCTATGTTCTGTTTTCCCTTCAATCTACCTTTTAACTTACAGAGCACAAATATGTACTTTTCTGTACTGTTTTTGTCCCTCAGGTGTATAGTGACTTGATGGTATAATTTACTACAGTATAGAATTAATCTCTATTAGATCATACTGTATCTCTGGCAATCAATAACCAGGCGTTATTTTGTACAGAATCATGATGGAACAAGACATCAATGACCAGGAAAAAACTCATGGCCCTACCTAAGTACAGGAAAGGGAAAGGGAAAGCGGATACCTAGTCAGTTACACAACTGAATGCATTCAACCGAAATGTGTCTTCCGCATTTAACCCAATCCCTCTGAATCAGAGAGGTGCAGGGGGCTGTGTTAATCGACATCCACGTCATCGGCGCCCGGGGAACAGTTGTTGTTGAGGTAGTACAGTATGGTTGATTCTGGTTGGAAATTCCCACTCATTCATTTCCACATTCATTTAGCGGTGGATAAAGACATTCCACTTTAACACTTAGCTCTCATGGCTATGAATTGTACACTTTTGCTGTAGGATCCCAAGTGTGCTTATAAACCTACTACACTATATGTACAAAAGTATGTGGACACCCCTTCAAATTAGTGGATTCGGCTATTTCAGCCACACCCGTTGCTGACAGGTGTATAAAATCGAGCACACAGCCATGCGCTCTCCATAGACAAACATTGGCAGTAGAATGGCCTTACTGAACTGCTCAGTGACTTTCAACGTTGCACCGTCATAAGATGCCACCTTTCCAACAAGTCAATTTGTCAAATTTCTGCCCTGCTAGAGCTGCCCCGGTTAACTATAAGTGCTCTTATTGTGAAGTGGAAACGTCTAGGAGCAACAATGGCTCAGCCGCGAAATGGTAGGCCACACAAGCTCACAGAATGGGACCGCAGAGTGCTGAAGCACGTAGCGCGTAAAAATCGTCTGTCCTCGGTTGCAACACTCACTACCGAGTTCCAGACTGCCTCTGGAAGAAACATCAGCACAATAACTGTCTGTCGGGAGCTTCATAAAATGGGTTTCCATGGCTGTGCAGCTGCACACAAGCCTAAGATCACCATGCGCAATGCCAAGCGTCGGCTGAAGTGGTGTAAAGCTTGCCGCCATTGGACTCTGGAGCAGTGGAAACGGGTTCTCTGGAGTGATGAATCATGCTTCACCATCTGGCAGTCCGACGGACGAATCTGGGTTTGGCGGATGCCAGGAGAACGCTACCTGCCCGAATGCATAGTGGCAACTGTAAAGTTTGGTGGAGGAGGAATAATGGTCTGGGGCTGTTTTTCATGGTTTGGGCTAGGCCCCTTAGTTCCAGTGAAGGGAAATTACATTCTAGACGATTCTGTGCTTCCAACTTTTTGGCAACAGTTTGGGGAAGGCCCTTTCCTGTTTCAGCATAACAATGCCCCTGTGCACAAAGCGAGGTCCATACAGAAATGGTTTGTTGAGATCGGTGTGGAAGAACTTGACTGGCCTGCACAGGGCCTTGACCTCAACCCAATCAAACACCTTTGGGATTAATTGGAACGCCGACTGCGAGCCAGGCCTAATCGGCCAACATCAGTGCCCGACCTCACTAATGCTCTTGTGGCTGAATGGAAGCAAGTCCCCGCAGCAATGTTGTTCCAACATCTAGTGGAAAGCCTTCCCAGAAGAGTAGAGGCTGTTATAGAAGCAAAGGGGGGACCAACTCTATAATAATACCCATGATTTTGGAATGAGATGATCGACGAGCAGGTGTCCACATAGTTTTGGTAATGTAGTGTATCTAGGACTATACAGTGATGTAGTGGTAAAAAAAATAGGTAGGTAAGCGCTGATCGGTGTTCGCGGTGAGTAAAGTAACACTCCCTATACTTTCAATGCATTTTTCTGCTAAAAGTGGGTAAACCCTCACGCAAAGTAAATAAGGTGTGGAAATGGTATTTGTGTGCGTTTACGTTCCACTACACTACTGGGCCTATCCTTTCCTGTTATGGTTGTGAATCTTATTTTTGCATTTGAAAACGTATATTTTCCTTGATATTCAGCATCGGTACATAGCCATTGGATGTGGGTATATGTTATAGCCAATCATAGTAATCCAGTAGGCTAATGTAGCATATGGGGATGTGTGAAACTTACTCCTCAGCCTGAAGTGTCCCCACTTGTGTCGCGGAATAGCTAGCTTTTCGTGTGGCACGACTGGTAAGACGCTTCGGTAGGGCGGTCACATGTGCTAGCAAAGCAGAGGTCCTGGGTTTGAGCCTCGGTGTGAGCCGAATCAGGAGGAAGCGAGCTAAGCAAGCAGCGCAACGTCCTTTACACTAACTCTGGGAAGATCTCAACTGCATACTTCTCGCGTCCTCTCTCCTCCTCAAAACCCATTGTAGGAGAAGGTCAGAGGGGAGGGACCTCTGGCGTTCTCATCCAATGGGTTTTGAGAAGGAGACGAGGAGACAGGAGAGAGGAAACTAAGAAAATGCAATTGAGATCTTCCCACTGTGCTTCCTTGTCCTCTGCAGCCCATTGAGAGGGCCCACTTCTGGTACTACCAGCTGGAGTTGGGCTTCTACTTCTCTCTGCTTCTCTGTGTCACTGTGGACGTCAAGAGGAAAGTAAGTCCCTTCATCTGCCTGCTATTCACGTCCTGCCAGGACCATGATAACCTAACATAGCAGGCGTAAAAGAAACACCTGAGCGGGCTTGGGAGAAACCAGAAGCATCTGGTTTTCAGGCTTCACCTCTTCCTCTCTGTTGTTCCCCTGAAAACCGGATTCTTCCGGTTTCTACAGACCCCGCCGAGGGTGGGACCATGATAACAAGCAGTCCCCATTTATAACACATCACTTACTAATAGAGATCAGGGTACGACAAGGCAAGGATCAGGGTAAGACATTATTTGCTCCCGCTCACATTTTATACATGGTTAGCTCTACTTTATTTGGGTCCCAGTTAAAAATTGACTCAAAGACCTGTACGGTGAATGAATGCATAATCTACTTTAAAGCTCACATGTCTTCCTCAGACAAATGAAGGGTCAACATGGTCTTTCAATGAATTAATCCCTTGTCTGAATAGTCATTGATATCATGTTGAACAAATACAGCAAAGCATTTGGATGTACATAAAGTCATACTATTGCCATTGGCTATTACATTACTCGACTTTTAAACTGGTTTTGCTTCTCTTTCATTTCTAGGATTTCAAGGAGCAGGTGATTCACCACATTGCCACCATCTTCCTGCTTGGTTTCTCCTACTGTTCCAACTATGTACGGATAGGCACTCTGGTGATGCTGCTTCACGACTCCTCTGACTTCCTCCTAGAGGTAAGAGCTGGATCACAGTCCAGCCAATCTCCCCATTAACGTCAGTATGTAGCTAAATCGTAAGAAATTTGCAAATCATGCATTTAATTTGGGACTGGTGAACTGCACTGCACTTACAAGAGGTTAGCACTTGTCCGACACTGGTCTCACTTGCAAATTGTATTTTTGTCATTGAGGGTCAATGAGGAACAGAATGGTCAATTTAGCATGGCATGTCTTATGACTCTATTAGTCATAGTCAGACATTAGTGTGGGGTGACCTTGGTTTACCTGTAGTGCCAGGAATGTGAACCAGTCTGTCGATAATCATTAATTACCAATAGAGAGAGAATACAAGAGACCAAAAGCTGTGTGTAATGAATTTTATGCACATTCATACATAAAAGCCTCGTCACCTAATTCACCCAATAGAAACATATTTCAATGTTTGCATTTGTTTACATTAGGGAGCCATCTTAGAATATCTCTTTGTTTTTACAGTCTGCCAAGATGTTCAACTACGGCACGGGCTGGAGGAAGACCTGCGACACGTTGTTTGTCATTTTTGCTGCTGTCTTCCTGGTGACTCGCCTGGTGGTGTTTCCCAGCAAGTAAGACCATCTCAGTGGTATCTCTTAGTTCTAATAGTTTTTTCATGACATTATAATACAATTAACATCTTTAAATGATGTGCAATTGTGAATGTATTAGTATTGATATTTGATAGAGAATGCAACACTACTTAAACATATTAATTGATTACCTAATTGTGTCAAGGCAACTAAATCGGCCACTAATCCAGAACAATGTTTGGTTGAGCAACAATGTAACAAACAAAATGTCTTAGAATATGATAATTTACTAACTGGAATGCTTTGAATTGACTTCTAATCATTGCATGAATTGCTTCCTCTTCCCCTACCCCCCCTGCCTTGATTTCTAGAATAATCCACACAACCCTTGTGCTGTCCATGGAAGTATTTGAACCCTTCACTGGCTACAATTTTTTCAATGTTCTTCTGATGGTGCTACAAGCACTTCATGTCTTCTGGGCTGTGTTAATCCTACGGATGGCCTACAAGTTTCTCTTCTTGGGCAAGGTGAGTAAATGAGGTCACAAAATGACCAGGACACAAATAGCCTAACACGTGTTCCATGAGTGTTCATGATGTGTATCTGTTTGTGTCTTCAGCTGGATAAAGATGAACGCAGTGATGAAGAGAGTGAGCCGGAAGAGGGGGAGGACGACAAGGGAGACGGGGAGGAGGAAGACGAAGAGGTGGAGTATTTTGGGGAGAGAAGTAAAGAGGCCCTAAACCTCCAAACTGAAAATTCTGACCAATAGCTGTGTCTTAAACAACCTAACAAATCACAGAGCTGCTGTTGTGAGCAAGATGCACAAAGCACAGTAGAACTATGAACCTAGACAGAGTGATTGTAAGACAACACAGATAAAAGGCTTTAAATACGGGATAGAGATAACCATAACCATCTAAGCACAATAAAGCTGTAACTCCAGTCACATATGGACACATGCACATTAATTGTCCTACTGTATAAAATATGAATAGGAAGTACTGTATGTATTTTTATCATTTCAAATTAATGTTTTTTGTCAACAATTAAAAGTTTGAATAGGGTACTTTTTCCTCCATCTGTGGGTTCCTTGGCCACTATTCCTCTCAGCATAGTCTACTTGATAACAATGGGTCTGCCTATTTCAGGCCTTTTAGGACTGGAAGAGTGTATGAAAGAGATTGCTTTCACTTTTTGGATACAGATTACTTGTTGAATTACGAATTCAGTAAGAATTGTGGGAGGAGCAATAGGAGGATTTATCTCTGACAAGTCATACAATTATATACAGGCTCTTTGTGATGGCTGGAATGGAATTAATGGAATGTATCAAACACACAAACATATGGAAACCACGCCTTTGACTCCTTTCCATGTATTCCATTCCAGCCATTACAAGAGCCTGTATATAATTGTATGACTTGTCAGGGATAAACTGTTTGTTAGAGTAGGCTACACTGTTGTACATGATATGGCTATAACATATGTAATGTCATTGCAGAAAAAAATTTATTTTACTAGTTTTACATGGATGCATTGTCTATCCGGCATGAATTACTGTATATAGCCTAGCTAGCCTATAATAAGTCCTACAAAATTGTATCACAGAGTGTAGTTGGTGTTATTTTCATGTGACCAATTTATGACTTTTTTCTTTACCAAGACATTGGTTAAAGTATGAGATTGGAATGATATGTAGGCCTGCTATACTAATGCTTTGAGTTTCCAATGTTTAATGATCTTGTGTATTTAATTTATTCAATTGACCTTTGGGGAAGGTGGTGCAGGTTATTGGGTCATACCAAATGCTTGGCCTAATAGCGTCTGTTAAACAGTGAATAAACCTACATAATTTCGGAAATGATGCCTTCAGTGACTTCCATCATTTCAGGGGTGAAACTTTGAATCATCTGCAATGTATCAATTGTTGCATGTTACAGAACTAAGGATAACTCATACATGTGTGTTGTTTGCATGGTCCCACAGACTAGGCATACTTGTTTTTACTAGGCTATGGTTTTCCTGCCTTCAGGGTTCACTTCAGAGGAAGGTCTTTAAACTGCGTGATTTGACTAGCCTAACGTGAGTATATTTGGATGAAGTGGTATTAAATGTCAGCCTTTATCCATATTTTATGTACGACTGAAGAAGCAGAACTTTACCTTTGACTGAATAAGCTAAACTTGACCTGAGCCACATCGGCCTCCTCGGCTGGTGGCCAAACGCACACCTGCACCACCAGGTGAGTGAGCGCATGAGCGCTGAAAGCAAAGGCTATAGATCCCCACAGTGGAGATGTCAAAATACCCATAAAACCTAGCGGTCAAACAGAAAAATGGTTCCAAACGTTTTTCCACCATTGATTTTTCCCATAGGGGATTTTAGAAAACACTTAAAATAAGGGCTGTGTTTCAGGTAGGCTTAACCCTGGCGTGACGTTTTGATAACCATGTAAATCTCTCTCAGACAAGGTAACTTTTATCAATATATTCGGCTCTATTTACTCTCAGATTCGAAAATGCTAATTAGCATGAAAGTAGACATGCAAGACTACAAATCCTAAAGGTTGCTGGATCTAATCCCCGAGCTGACAAGGTACAAATCTGTCGTTCTGCCCCTGAGCAAGGCAGTTAACCCACTGTTCCCCGGGCGCCGATGACGTGGTTGTCGATTAAGGCAGCCCCCCGCACCACTCTGATTCAGAGCATTTCACTTTGGGGGATTAAATACAGGCAAATATATTGATAAACTTCACCTTGTCCTAGAGAGATTTACACGGTTATCAAAACGTCACGCCAGGTTAAGCCTACATGAAACACAGCCCTTATTGTAAGTGTTTCTAATATCCCCTATGGGAAAAAATAATGGTGGAAAAACGATTGGAACCATTTCCTTGTTTGACCGCTAGTTTTTATGGGTATCATGAATCATACTGTGGTACTCTATTGATCTGTTGTTGGTGAGTATCAATCTTATGGAAACAGCAATGGGGAGACATTGCAACATCTATGACATCTACTTGCAGGATTGCTCTCCAAAGACAACACAGAATTTTTTTATAAACAAAGCCCGGGAGAGCATTTGTAAACTGATGAAGGCAATTATCTTCGTCTTGCATGGCATGATTTGCAATCCTATCCGTGTTTACTGCACGAGAGGTAGCTATTAAATAAATCGTTTTTTTCTGGGGGGGGGCCATTTGGGGTGTGTGTGCGTTGAGAGCACTGAGACACGCGCGCACGTCGTGACAATTGTTTTATCAGTTGTAGGTAGGCTATTTAGATAGGTCATTATGGAGTCACTTTTCCCATAAAGCATATTAACGCGCTCGAACTGATATAACGGCGACAAAGCGTTGGAAAATAACTTTAGGCGCACTAGAGCCCTTTTGATCAATTCGCTCAGATGTGGTTTAAAGTAAACTACATTCTAATGTCGACTTTTCTTATGGATAACCGTATCAAGCGAAGGGTTTTACGCATGCTCAGTTCTATAGTCTGGAGCGCTGCGCAAGTGGAAATGTTAAATGGAGGATATGGAACTCCCTCGCGTGCCTGTTTTTCGGAGTCCACAATGAAAATTACATTAAATGTGTAGAATGATAGACTACATTTGAATTTGTTGGCCATCAAGTAGGCTATTACTTGCTATGCCATTGTAGGCTACTGTAGCCTACCATTTGATACAATAAATATGTTGAAATGACGATATCACTGGAGTATTGCAACTCAATTTGTGCCACTTGTGCAGCCTACCTGGAGCTGGCAAACGGATTTAATAAATAGCCTATAACTCAGTTTGAAATCAAACTTTATTTGCCACATGCGCCGAATACAACAGGTGTAGACATTACAGTGAAATGCTTACTTACAAGCCCTTAACCAACAACGCAGTTAAAAAATATATAAATAAAAAAAGAGCTAATAATTAAAGAGCAGCAGTAAAATAAAATAACAGCAGGGAGGCTATATACAGGGGGTACCGGTACAGAGTCAATGTGTTGTAGCCTTGTGCTATTATGCAGTTGTTAATGGCCATGTTTAGTTAATTAAATGGGAAGTTATCACTTGTGATCATGGTCACAGCTCTATCGCAAATGTATCATTTTCCACATTTAATGTCAGTTGCATTGTGGACTTTCCCTGAAATGAGATGTTGGCCTATAAGGGGCTATCTGCTTCTAGCTCAGCAAACCATGGCAAATTTGAATTGCAATTATAAACACAAGTTTTTAGTCAGTAACCTATGCCTCTTGAAATAACATTTTTGACCATATATTACATCTCCTCGGGCCTTATTACTTAATCATAGCAGTCAAAACAAGTTAAATTGACATCCATTGATAAAAAATTATCTGGAGGGTTTAATAAATTCGATTTATCTTTTCTCTTGTGAAATATTCTTAAACTTGCAATAATTATTATTTAGATGGAAAACCGAATTTGGCTTATTAGCCTATGTCGTTAAGAATGACGTCGATAATCCTTCTTAATTCGCTGGATAACGTTATAGAATAAGGGTTTAATGGATAAATGTGGCAACTCCTCTCTTGATGCAAACAAATAATAATTTGAGCTAGTTTTCTGCATTGTGAGCGGGTTTTCAAAGGTCAGGCGCTAGAAATGTTAGCTTGACCTGGCAACCCTGAGCCCTATGAAGAACGATGAAAACCTTCAAGTTCTTGATTTCCTGTTCTCCAGAGACAGTTGTCTGACGGTGAGTGTTGTTTAACAAGCTAAGCGTATCTTCAACATTATGGATGTATTTTGAGGATTGACTATCAGCGATATCTAACTTATGTCTAGATATCTGACATTTATTGTCAGATAAAATGTAACTCTGTGTTATTGTTTTTATCGCACTGCTTTGCTTTATCTTGGCCAGGTCGCAGTTGTGAATGAGAACTTGTTCTCAACTGGCTTACCTGGTTAAATAAAGGTGAAATAAAAATAATAAAAATTGAGGACTGACTGGCTGATTGCTAATCAGTGTGTGAGAACCGGGCATGACTAATAGCTAGCTAGCTTGCTAACAACCGTGGCCCCGTGTGCCATGTGCGCTAGCTAATGAGCTAGCTAAACTCATAGCTACAGCCATATTACGAGTGTGTAGCTAAACCATTACAACATATCATCCAGTAATTGTCAGATGACAAGTGACTGGTGAAATAATTGACTAACGTTATTCAGACATTAACTAGCCAGCTGGCTAAACAGCCCAAAACGTACAAGCATTGCCAGTTTGATTAGCTAGCTAACGTACTAACGTTAGCTGTATGAAACTAGGAACGTTAGCCTGCTGATTTCCCAGACAGACATAAAGCTAACTAACGTTAGCTAGATATTCTCCGTTGAACATGCTTTTTATTCCAGGACCAGGCTTAATCTGTGTCCAGGAAACTGGCCTATAATGTTTAACGTTACCAACCAAGCAACTTCTTTCAATAAATCAATGCAACCCGCCTTGTTTCTACAGCCATCAAATATGCAGATCTTTGTGAAAACGTTGACGGGTAAAACCATCACCCTTGAGGTGGAACCCAGTGACACCATCGAGAATGTGAAGGCCAAGATTCAAGACAAAGAAGGTAACTCTCCATCTCAGCAACAGTAAAAGTTGGTCGGCACTGATCTAGGATCAGTGTACCTTCCACCTGAATAGAACCGTAAATCGACATAACATCTGTGTATAATGTACAACTACTCCAGTTGGGGTGATGTGGATGGTTTCTGCCAAACAACCTACTTAGTTTGCTGCCTTCCCTTTCAG